CCCGGCTAAGTTTTCGTATTTTTTAGTAGAGACGGGGTTTCACCGTGTTAGCCAGGATGGTCTCGATCTCCTGACCTCATGATCCGCCCGTCTCAGCCTCCCAAAGTGCTGGGATTACAGGCTTGAGCCACCGCGCCCAGCCTAATTTTTATTGTTTTTAAGAGACAGGGTCTCCCTATGTGGCTCAGGCTGGTCTCAAACTCCTGGGCTCAAGTCATCCTCCTGCCTCAGCCTCCCAAAGCTCTGGGATTACAGGTGTGAGCCACTGCGCCCAGCCAAGTCTTTCTCTTAAAATTTCCTGAAATGTTGGGGTCTCTGGAGGGGCAGGTGCTGGGCTTGAGCCCTGGGTGGGACCCTGCAGGGGAAAGGTGGTCCTGCAGCCCAGGGAGGATGGCTCTGTCTTCTTGTGGTGCAGATCTCCACAATGAAAGCTGGAAGCAAGTGAAAGCCCAGCAAACCACAGGCCAGTTGATCTGAGCCCCAGGATTTGGCCCCAGGTTCCGCTTCAGCTGCCAGCACCGTCTGTTCCTCTTCAGAATCCTTCCTCCCTCTTGGCCTGACCACCGTGTCCCTCCTCCCCCATGAACCGCCCACCATGTCCTTCCCTCCCCCACGATCCACCCACCATGTTCTTCCCTCCCCATGGCCCGCCCACCGTGTCCCTCCCTCCTGCCCCGACATGCCCCTTGAGCTGCCTGGGCCCTGCTGTCTTCCCGTCTGCCTGGGTGGCTCTTTGTGCCCCCTTTCCTACCCTGCCCTTCTGTGGTTCAGGGAGTGTCCAGGGCCCATCCTTGTCCTCAGGGCCTTCCCTGGCCCTTGCCACTCTGTGCCGTGACATGACCTGAGGCTGCAGGGTGTGCGCCTCCCCCTTCCATCATCACTGCCCACCTCCTATGAGGTGTCCCAGCCGCCTGATTGCTGGAGTCCCAGGGTACTCGGTGCTGTCGTGGAGCCTGGAACATTCACCGTTCCGGATCGATTCCGGGGTCGGAGCCACACCTGGTCTGGGGCATTTACTGTCCGGGGTCGATTCCAGGGTCGGAGCCACACCTGGTGAAGATACAGAACTTGCCACTGCCCTAACCCCATGTGGTGTGCCCCCCGTCCCCGGGTGCTGTTCCCATAGCCAGCCCTTGTCTCATCTCGTCTTATCCTCTAGATGCTGTGGGCCCTGAGGGAAAGGATCGCAGAGGCGCTGAGCCGAGATGGCTACGTGTACAAGTACGACCTCTCCCTCCCCGTGGAGCGACTCTACGACATCGTGACTGACGTGCGTGCCCGCCTTGGCCCACATGCCAAGCACGTGGTGGGCTACGGCCACCTGGGTGAGTGGCGCCCCAGGGTCACGGTCTTGCGTGTACTGGGTGGTGGGCGCCATAGTCACCGTCGCCCCGCCAGGCTGCAAGGCAGGGAAGATTGACCATGGTCTCTGGCTTAGCATATCTCCAGTAGACACTGGCAGGACCACGGTGTCTAACAGGGAAGGGAAAATCCTAATCATTGTCACACTCATTTTGAGTATTTTGGAAAAGACTGCCATTGTGCACTTTTGATGACAGAGCACGTGGCTGAGCTTGCCAGAACATTCCGGGATCTTCACTGGGATGCACGGTTGGAGGGCATCAGCCTTAACCTGAGTCCAGGACGCGGGTCTCGGGGCTCCTCTCACAGGGCCCGGCCCCAAGGCCTTTGCTGTGCTTGATTCGCAGCCCCCAGCTGCTGCCACCCCTTCAGATGGGAGGATTTCAAAACCACATTCAGATCATCTTTTTTTTTTTTTGCAGAAAAATCATGCTTTAACATGCAAGCTGTTAATTCATAGGAAGAAAATGTTTCAATCCTATCAGTTCTTTTTTTTTTTTTTGAGATAGAGTTTCGCTCTTGTCACCCTGACTGGAGTGCAGTGGTGCAATCTTGGCTCACTGCAACTTCCACCTCCCGGGTTCAAGCAGTTCTCCTGCCCCAGCCTCCCAGTAGCTGGGACTACAGGCGTCCACCACCAGGCCTGGCTAATTGTTGTATTTTTAGTAGAGACAGGGTTTTGCCATATTGGCCAGGCTGGTCTCAAACTCCTGACCTCCGGTGATCCACCCTCCTCAGCCTCCCAAAGTGCTGGGATTACAGGAGTGAGCAAGCATGCCTGGCCGTTTTCCTATCAGTTCTTGGGAGCCTTGGAGCGAGGCGTCTAAAAGGCCAGCTTATAGGGCAGGGGTCTGTCTCTTATACACATCTAGATGTGTATAAGAGACAGGTGTGGCTTTGGGGGCTGACAGGTGCTCAGTCTGGCTTCTTCCCTGGCCTGGTGGCACTGGGGCCTCTGACCTGAAGCCTCCAATCCACCTGCCAGTAAATGGGATTCAGATGCCACCTCTGTGGTTACAGGAGGGTCTAGGGTTTTGTGCGTGACGATAGTAATATGTATTATGTATGAAGGGCCTGTGCCGTCCCAGGCATCGTTCTAGCACTTGATGTGGAGAAACTTCTCTGCACAGCAGCTTTTAGGACTGGTGGTGTTGCTTCCCTTTTACACACATGTGAACAGGTTCAGAGAATTTAAGTAACTTGCCCAAAGTTGCCCCGCCTGCAGGACGGGTACGTCTGGAGGATTTGACATAGACTGGATGGTAATCTTCTGTGATAGGAAGGCAGGACTCCTGAATGGTAAGGGGGTAAGGGCTTGATGGGTGTGTCATCCAGAGAAGAGAGGTACCGGAGCCCCAGTAATTCAAAATATGACTTCGAGCCAGGAGGTTTCCTGCTCTGCAGGTAACTTCAGCCTCTCTTGGCCACAGATAAAGCAGATCACCTTGGTCAGAAATTGAATGAGTCCCCTGTTACTTTGTGAAAGCAAGAATGGGCCGGGCGCAGTGGCTTACGCCTGTAATCCCAGCTCTTTGGGAGGCTGAGCCGGGTGGATCACCTGAGGTCAGGAGTTTGAG